GGCAAAGGACACACTGACAAAGAAGAATAATCAGAACTGGCTTTGACAAGCACTGTGGCATTTGGACAAGAACAAACTGGGAGGAGGGTAGAGAGAATAGAGCAACAATGAATGAATGGAAGCCCAAAATCTCTGTAAATGTTTATGAAAATTAATAAAATATAGAAAAAAAACCAAAAAAAAACCAAAATGGGATTCCAAACAAGGAGAATTTGGCCAGATCTTTTTGTTGTATCACTGCCAAGATTTTTCCCCCCTTAAGGTTTGTCTTCACACCAAGTTTCTCCTTGTAGGCAAGGATTTTGAAACTCTGTCTCACATACTTTGGGCACATGGCCAGGAGAGATCAGTGCTCAGAGACAGACATCATGCTCAGAAGGGTGGAGGGACAGCACACAAGAGGAAGACCCCAGCTGAGATGTGTAGACATGGTAACTGGAGCAGTGGGGTATGTGAGAGTCAGTGAGACTGACTCAGGATAGAACATGGTTCGGAGCTATACAACAACAATGTCTGCATACCACTTTCACCATAGACTTACTTTAAAAAAGAATCTTAAATAATTGATTTAAAAGAAACCCATCCTGCACACTATTTTAAATGATTGGCCTTAATATTACTCACTCATTTATTGCCTTTGAGTAGGAACCGTAATTACTATGAGGTTTTCCAGAGGCTAAAAATCATAGGAGAGGAAATTGCCCTGCAGTTGGTAGATTCAAGCTGCTTGCCTTTCTTGTACATTCACATATGCTTTTAAATTTAGGGTTTTTTTAAGTGTCCCTGTTCTGTCAGAGACTTTATATATGAGACAATGCTAACTTGAAGGAAACATTCATCTTTGTACCCAATGGCCCCGATCTTCTTTCTTGAGCCCCGAAAGGGTGAACCCTGAAAGGGTGAAAAACTTAGGTAGGGCACACAGGAATGGGCAGAGACCCATGCTGGGCATCAGAGGTCTAGGGAAGATGTTGTGCAACGTTGTCATCGAGATGCACCAAACTGCTGACTCCAGATTTGGACTCTGAGTGATTAAAAAGGTCCCTAAAAGG